TTTTTTTTTTTTTTTGTCAACAAATCTTATTTGCAATTAATTAATTCGTTTTAAATTCCAGGGACTACGACAATTTCCTGGAAGAATTAGAGGAAGACAAGGAGTTCAGAAAGAATGTCAATATTTACGTTGGTAAGATGGTGTATTTGTTTGTAAACTTGAAACAGCAGATATTATGGATAATAGATAATACAAGCATTCACCATTTTCCAGACATCGGTTCACTGGTCAAACATAAAGCATTCAGTCAAGCTTGCAGACTGGGTTCAAATTTGAATAATCCTTTGAAAGTACCTTGGCGCCTCGCTTGAGCACTTTTTGTGTTTGACCAGTGAACCAATGTATGGAAAATGGTGAATTGTATCGACCTGATAGCCTCAATTGTATGAATCTTTAAACAAAATAATATCTTATCGTGGGCTCAACTGTAATGAGAGCTTTTGTGCCTTTAGTACTAAAATCAATCTCCTTCTCATCTTCCCAAATCACAGATCCTATAAACTTTCTCTGGCATATAGAGCAGTTTTCGCGTGACTGTGAAAAGCTCAGTGCCATATGCGTGCCGTCCCATGACAGTGATGTTTTCTAGAATTTTAATTGGCTGATTTTTTTCACACGCAATGTGATTGGTTTGGCATTGCCATGAACTTGGCGTGACTGTGTCCGTGCCGTGTTTATGCAGTGTTCCAGTTATTTGATGGAGAGTAAATTCTCGTCCAACGTGATTGGTCTGGCGTATCCCTTGCCGTGTCATGGCTGTGTTCATGCCGTGAATTTTTCATAGTCATACACTTTGTACTAATATCCATGTGATTTATCATAGATCGCGATCACATCCCAGAATCAGATAATGATGATGATGACATTCCCAAAATCAGTCTTCAAGAAATGCTTGAAGACCTCAAACTATCTGATGCAGAACCACAGGCAGAAATGGACGTGGCCAGTAGTGATGCCATGGCAACAGAGTAACAAAGACATTCCTATATTTCTATGGTTTACAAAATGTATAACTGCAAGAGATGCTTGGAGACAATAGGCCGTTTGCATGTTGGCATCATTTTATCACCACTACCAAAATGCTTCATGAATTTTCTTTCTTATTTAAATTTGTATTTCCTTGAGAGAATAATAAGACAATAAATTGGTGCTAATTAACTGTACTAAAGAAATACTTAGTGTGCAAGGGAGGTTTGTAGTGAGTGTAAATGATGCAATACATGCAAGTGTGACCTGGCAGGAATTCAGTGCCCAGTGGGAATACCATAGCTAAAAAATAATATAAATATGCTTGATCCTATATCCATTAACTATTGCCTGAAGACCGCAACCTTGTAGATTCGAGCCGCAGTAAGAATAATCTATCAAAATACTAGTGGCAATGCTATGATAATGTGCAATACACATGCATCTGTATTGTAAATCTGCATAAACACTAGGCAGGTGTTCCTAAGCTTGCTTCAATTTTCTCATGCTCTACAGCTTCCAGAGTGTTTATATATATCACAGCTCTTCTAGCAGAAACACAACACAAGCAACATGATGAAATATTTTCGAAGATTTTACCTCTGTTCTCTGACATGCATGTAAGCATAGGAGCCATCCAATTAAGTACACATTGTATCAAGTAATTCATAAGGAAAAAATATATATAAATAAATTAGGGAAAATTTGGTTGAAAAGACGTTTACTTGACTTTCACACTTGGTACTAAGAAGATGGCTAATCATTGTTGTTTCCTCCAAACTCATTTGAGTCTGTTTTTTCCCTGCCTTGGACAGGGGGGGGGGGGGGGGCCAGTGATAAATACTGAGAATGGTCAGCAGACATTTGAGGTATTTAACTGAGTTATTTCATACCTGAGAAGGTTTTCACACAAAAAAAATGTTGCACAAGACATTAATTCCCATGAGGGAGTACTGAAAAAGATGCTTGTCAATTCTTTTTACACATTCAAGGACAATATACATTAGTATTCAAGGGATAAATCCTTGGGATAAGTGGGCTTTATCTTTATTTATTTTCAAAAATAATAACGGTACGCATTTCAGACCATGCCATTCTCTTGGAAATAAGATTCTTTGTTCTAAAGAATGTTATCAAGATGTGATATGGTCTGAATTCGAAAGAAAAGTGTTGAACCTTGAAACAACTTCTGGGCTGATCAAAGTAGCGGCACCCGAGCTTAAACATCTATTCTAAGTACGTCATACAAACATTCCCCATTAGCTTTGCTTGTCGGATCAACCAACATGGTGGTTGTTTCTTTGCTATTTATATCTCAAGAGATTTTGAGTCGTGGTTGCACCCAAGAATGCAACCCTGCAAGCAGTAGAATGATACTGCTCACAATTCAATTCAATTTCAGTTTATTTACACTTTTTTTTTCAAATTTTATGAAATAGAATTACAAGAAAATATATTTTAAATAATATTTAGAATTTTTACCATAATTAGGCATGTAATAGGTGTAATTGTACGACAGCCAAAGGAGCTAAAGCTTTCTATTGGCTGTCAAAATTTCCATTTAGGGTCAAAGAAGAAAAAAGAATAAAAAAAACTACACAGGGTACAGGTACAAGAATGCATGTGCATGGCCTGAATTTGTTTTTCTATTTCTACTGGAAAATACTGAAAGCTACTATTAATTTAAACAATATATTTAACGAATTATCCTAAATTAAGGAAATATGAGGGTCTACTAGATTATGACGGGGGGGGGGGGTGGGGGCTGGGATAATGTCAAGTACATAGCATGATGGAAATTTTATTTCTTGTCTGGAGCAATATGTTCTTCCATCTTTTGCAGTAAATTAGGATGTAATTTCTTCACTTCTTCCAATCCAGGAACAAAACGATCTCGGTAATCAAATCCCGGTGCGACAGCCTCGGATATCAACGTGAATGGTACTTCCCCAGGGAAGGTTTCATATTCTTTTAGCTCGTTCATCACACGAGCAGCCTTGAAATAACCACCTTTCACAGTTAACTGAGGAACTTGACCCTTCGACACGTCTTTTCCAACTATAAACTCTTCATATTTCCCTTCTGGAGAAACAGTGATGTACTGTACTGGCCATCCATCATGGAAAAAGTGAACTATATCGCTTTTATTCGAGTGAAGGTAGTTACGACCTCCCATGTCGTGGGACATCAAATAGTATATGATGGTAAGCAAACTTCTTGAACTGCCTTCGCGTTCAGATTCGACTTTCTCTTGTGAACGATAAGTCTCTGAGAAGTAACCACCTTCGTCAGATAGAGGCATCAGGTGGAGATCTTTGGCAATAATGTCTTTTCTGTTCATTTTGAAGCCCTTTGGTGTTTTTTGACGATATCTCGCTCGATTACTGAAGCCGTGACCCCCCGACGACTAGCGTAACACAGGGAACCCATGCCCGTTAGTTGTGATACGATCAAATTTTAATGTCTCCAATTTTTACTATTTAAACACATGTTTCTTTGAAAAGTACTTTACAAAGTAAGAAAACTAACGTCCATCTCTTGTTAGCATTTTTGGTTCGAGAGATATTCAAGTTTTAAGTTTATGCTAACTATTTTAAGTTTTACGTTTATGCTAATTGTGAGGTTTATGACGTCATGTTCTCAACTCAGTTTTTTTCTTCTTTTTTTTTTTACATCTTTATAACTAAGATACATGTAGAGTGGTTTTCATAAACCCGTGAAATACAATTAGCTCATTGCCGACTATTAATTACACCCTAATTCTTTTGTTTTCTATCGTGATTTTCGGACTATTACACTCTTATTAGTGGACTTTGTTTCACAAGTTTTTAAAAACCACTCTATACAGATATAATATATAAGATATAATAGTAAAATAATTCGAAAAATGAATGTGAAAAACTACCCATTATAAGGGAGAGCGCGAACGGGACTGGTGCACTATCCAGGATTTTCGTTTTAGGAGCGTGGGTGCGCCCTTTGATTACAAAAATCGAACACCAGTAATGCAGTAGATATCAGATCATCTAGATGGAGAGGGGTGCGCTCTCCCTGCACCCCTCCTCTAGATCCATCCGCCCCTGACATGGTCTTAGTGCAAAAGGGAGAACCTATACATAGCACTCAGTTCATGTCAGTGATTCATTGCATTTTATGAATCATTACATCGACTGGGGACTGGGGAGAAGTAAAAAAAACTTCAAAGTCTGTGCCCAGCCCATGCAGTATTCGTGTCGTGTCAGTCATAAAGCGTAAAGAATCATATCTACACACTGCTGCAAATGGCTGCCAAAAGTGAACTAGTTTTCTTTGTCAATGGTAAAAAGGTACACGTTCATTGTTATTCAGAGTATTTTCGAGTATGTAGGAGGAATGTGCTTTTGTATATCTTTTAGCGACAGAAACGGCTTTGAAGAACGATGTGGGAGGAATAAATCTCCTATCTTCTGATGCTGTTCACTTAATTACCGTATCGAAACAGAACATATAGCTACTTTACAACTTGTTATTTATATATATATATTTATTTCTACTGTGTTTCTCAAAGTCTTTGAAGATTTATTGAACATAAGAATGAAAAACATAAATCGACTAAAACGATTTATTTGTCTTATTATACCAATTATTATAATTGAAATCAACAGACTATACCTCCATAGTATTGACCCTATTGATCACAAGGCACTAGAAAACAGAAAAATTCGTGTTACTTTTATACCAAAATGTGTGCGAAGAGCTTTTTTGTGGTTTAAGAAATAGATAATATCAATATTTGCATTATTAGAGTGCTCACACTAAATCCGTGAAACAAATACTAATTTTTAGCACTAAATAGTTATAATTAAACAATAGAAAACAAAGGATTCTGTATGAAATAGTACTAATTAGTACACTAAATAGTGATAATTAAGCAATAGAAAACAAAGGATTCTGTATGAAATAGTACTAATTAGTACTATTTAATGTTCACGGTTTTAGTGCGTGCACTCTATATTTATAATATATAGTCCAGAAATGATTGAAAACAAACTGGTAAAACGATAATCATTGTACAAACATTGGTAGTTGACTTTCATTGTTCGAAACTCTATATGCTGCGAGTAATAATGACGTCCTGTTTTGAATTTTTCAACTTTTGTACGAGCAAAGTAGCCAGCTATGAATTTGGATAATAGAAATGCTAAAAGTTGCATCATTGTAAGCTGATGCGCTAGACCTAGTAAATTTAGCAGACGCATTAGGTCGAGTACTTGGTAACGGATCAAGCGTAACTTTTTAGAGTTAAAATGCAAATGTCTGAGTTCAATTTTTACGGTTCTGTGACCTTCTAGTCTCCCCAACAGCCGCTTTCAGTGTTGACACGCAACGCTTTCTTTCAGCGTTGCGTGACGACACTGAAAGCAGCTGTGGTGGAGACTAGTGACCTGCATGATTAGCTTCTTAGCTGAACTACTGAGCTAAAGCACAAAAACTCATGGCTATTCGATTATAGTGTGCTATATACAAACGCCAGTAAGCGGATTGACGGCGAGTGGGATCGGATTAGGTCTGTAATGGAAAGTCAGATTTAAGGTATTAGGATACGTTTACGACCACTATGCGCGCAAACTTAAATAACGCGCTGGCTTTATAGTATAACACAAACAAAGTATACATTTTCTGAAAGCTGAGTAAATATAGTTTATAAAGAAATTTTCAAAATACGATTTTTTTTATTGTTGTTCACATTATTGCCCTCGAAGCGAAATTTGACTATGCCTCAGTGAAAACGTTAACGGACACGTACATTTTAAGCTATGTTTGCGAAAAATG